TTTCACATCTGTGTGGGATTTTAAGTTTGGAATGGTGTTTTTCAGACTGGGGTGGTTTATTTTCGCTTTTGAAACGGGATTCTAACAGTCTGGAATGGTGTCTCTCAGACTGGGTGGTTTATATTTCCTTGGTATGATATATATGCATTAAGCTCTATAATAGGCATAGTAATGAAAGGAGCCAAGAGCCACCATAAAAAAATGGGGCTCCTGAGACAAACCGGTTCACAGAGAAAGCAGTCAGCTACTAACCAGAGATACACAGAACACCTGCCTTGTAGATAAGCCCCTTCCCTACGCTTGCTCAAGGTTAACAAAGAAAGCTGCAAGGCACGTAGCAACCTATTCCTCTCTCCTAGAAACCCCCTCCCCTAATGTATCCCTTTGACCTAGTACTTTTCCACCGACATTACCACTTTTAGACTGCCATACAAGGCCCGCTACTGAAAATTATCCAATGAACTTACGCCAGCCTATAATATGTTAATTTTGTGGTTTTGCCCTTTAAAAGCTGTGTGAGATAGCTGCTCGGGGCTCCTCTCGCTTGCTTGCTGCTTGCAGCAGCAGGGGGCCCATTTGTACAAATGAAATAAAATTACCTCCTGCTCTATTGCATCGTCTGGTCCGGAGTCTGTGTTTCTGGGGTCGTCACAAGAGGACACCGCTTTTGGGGTCCTACAGTAACACTGAGATGTCAGATTACTGGTTAAGGTAGATGATCAGAGATATAACTGGACCAAAGCTTAGCCCTATTTACCTCCTATCTCCCCAGGTTACAAGGTGATTTAACTATGGGTAGTTCTACATCTGCTCCTTTGGAGATTCCCTGAAAAATCTACACTTAATAATTGGGAGACCCTTCGACTAGATGGGATAAAGGAATTATAGTTAATACAATGTATCCAAGCGAAATGCTTAAAAATAATTAAGCTCATGAAGAGCTGTGTCTGTTTTTATTTTCTTTGTCCTACAGAGAGACTGTAAATCTGTATAGCTCTACATGCATTCTTACCGACTTACTTCTAAGGGTACAGTTTAAAATTTGCTATGGGATCGCAAATCCCCTTGGGCTAGATGGTAATGGTAACATCTTAAGTTTTAAAGTGATCATATAGGTGGGATTAAGTGTTAAAGTAATCATGTTTATAGGATCAAGTGTTAACTACTAATAATAATAAAGTTAAAGAGAAGTAAATGCTCCAACATGGGAAGGAGTCTGTACAGCAGACTCATAGAGTGGCAATCACTTTAAGTAGCACTCAAAATCAGCCCTAAAGGCGTTCTGGTCTGGCTGGAAAGCCCACGAGAGCATTTCAGGCGTGGAAAGCCAAGACACTTGTGCAAAAATGTCCCTACGTGGAGAACCTCCCTGGGTGAGACCCCAGTGGGAAAGAGTGGCCATCAAACAATGATGTACTTTTCTCCAGAGGGAGGCGAGAACTTCCACTTTGTGTATGGCCCTGTCTGAATACTGATGGAGTTGCGGAACTCAGAAGGCTTCCATAGCCTAGGCAGCTCATGTCAAAGGCCTCAGGTGATCACTGACGAAACACATAAGAGTGTCAATTGTTAAATTAACAACAGGAGTCACTGTGTACTAACTTCCCATGTAGGACCTCTATTCTCAAAAGAGCTACAGTATTAACGTTAATGGTAAAACTTGATCCCAAAGATTTGCTTTGTTCTATTGTGTGATATTATGCATCATAAGTTCTGGTTATGTCTAAGTGTCAAGCTCCATTGCCTGTATTCCTAGGTATTTCTTTAAAGTTTATTAAGTGCATCAAATGTAAAACCTTGGATACATGTCTCTCTGTAAAATTCCTATCTCGTATGTTTTAACATAGAGTCAGTTATTTAAAGACAGCCAAGGAGATTTCTGAGAATGGCAAAATTCTGTGGACTTTGGATTCCAAGGTTTGGATTCGAAGCTTTTGTGTATAGCTTTAGAGACGCCCTGATACAGACCCCATACTGAAAAGGGTAGCTGCAAAAGTTGTTCCAGAGAACTAAGGAGCTTCTAACTAAAAGCTCCAGTATTGGGAGTTGCCGATGACAGGATTCTATGGAATTTGAATTCCAAAATTTGGATTCCAAGCTTTTTTATATAGCTTTAAAGAGGCTCTGATGCAGACTTTGTACTGAAAAAGGTAGCTACAAAAGTTGTTATGGATTCCAGGATCTGGATTCTAAGCCTTGTGTTTGCTTAAAAGCCTCTGAAACAGACACTGTGCTGGACAGGGGAGCTGCAAAGGTGTTCCAAGGAATCAAGGAGTTTTAACAAATCTCTAACATTAGAAATTCCTGAGCAAGCCATTCATAAGATCCTCTTCAGATCAGTTTCAGTGTAATTGAAAGGGACCTTACCAGGTCCTACTGAACACGACTACCTCCGTGAAATTAGGACTAAACTTCTACCTCTTAAGTCTTCACAGGTGAATGGGAAAGACATGCCTGACTGCTCCTATAAGCCAATCAGAAACCTTCAGTACTTCAAAGCAAAAAGGATAAGTAAAACTTTTGCCTTTGTCTCCTTAAGGCAAACATGCTGTACCTACCTTTCTTGATTATCTCTGGGAACTGTTATTGAGGATAAAGCTACCTAATGATTTCTTCTGTTGTTATTCTATGTACTCAAGCTAAATGGGTTTATAATCTACATAAGGGTAGCCTATCACTACCCACTACCTGGAAATCTATAAGATACCTTGTTTTCATCTAAAGGGGCACCCCACCTACAATTGGTTTTGCTCCAGTTTTGCCTTTGCTAACTAACAACTTATATGTTTCAGAACTCGAACTGACCATGCAGGGGACACAGACGTTGGCAATGACCAAGACTGCTCCAGCTCACAAAACAAATTTGTTAGATAGAATAGACAGAGACTTCCAGACCCTGGATAGGCAGGGCCTGCACTACACCCCTCATAAGCAGCAAGCAGTTACAGAAGAGATTATTCGACGCCCATCAACTTTCCTTAGGATTAAGGGGATGGAGTCTCTGAGGGGGGAATGAATTAGGCAGGCATACAGGTTAAAATCGATTAGGTTTGTGAGCTGGAAAACCACGCCTTCGCCATGCCCCCGTGTGACCTCACGCCCCTACCTGATACCTTCACCATGCCCCTGTGTGACCTCATGCCCCTACCTGGCCACACCTGAGTGCCCACCGGCCAATCAGGTTAATTAACCACTCCCCTTTGAAAGTGGTTAAAAGCCCTTCTGTTCTTCCCTGGCCTCTTGCCAGGAGGGGGCTTGCTGTAGTCCTGTGCCTCCAGGGTACGTGGCCTTTGGGCCACCTGCCCTAGGCTTCCTGGCCTAGATGCTCCTCCATGTGGCTGGTTCCTAGGGCTTGGTATGAACCCAGATTTACCTCTCTCTCTTAGATAAAGCTCTCTCTTTCCTATGATTTCCCTCACTGAATAAAAGCCTAAAATGTAACCAAAAAAAAACAAAAAAAACAACTGAGCATGTAGATGTCATTTTGAGAAAGGCAAATATTTAAAAGAGTAAGATAGATTCCTGCACTCAACATTTAAGAAACAGTCATTTTCATAAAACGATGCATATATTGGTAAAATTTTCTTTATCTGTTTAATCTGATACATGTGAAGTTTAATGATACAGTTTAGATTACTCTCATTTCTGAATGTAATATGCTTGTTTTAAGGCAAAACTTTCCCCAAAATCTGGCCAGAAAAAGAGAGGGATTATTTACCATACTTGTACACTCATAATATGTAATTTAAGAAGCATTGCTGAATAGCAAATATTCCATGTAAAATGGGGTCTTATTTGGCCTTGAAAAAGAAGTTCTGACACATGCGACAACAGGGACAACAGAGATGAACCTTGAGGACATCATACTAAGAGAAATAAGCCAGGCACAGAAGGACACATATGTGATTCCAGCTATATCATCTACCTACAACAGTCAATCTTACAGAGACAGAAATGAAAACTGTGGTCTCCAAAGACTAAGAGGAGGTGGAAATGGAAGGAGCTTCAATTTTTCGAGAAGAAATATACTGGAGACGGATGGTAATGATGGCTACACAAAAATGTGAATGTATTGGAGGGTGGCAGAAAAACATGTGAATATATTTAATGTCACTGAACTGTATTCTTGTTTGACATTTTAATTTATGCATTTTCATTTTATTTGAAAGATAGAGCTATCCTATCTGTTGTTTCACTCCCCTAATGCCTGCAACAAGCCTCCTGTATGGGTGGCAGGGATCCAAGCACTTGAGACTTCATCTCCTGCCTCCCAAAGTACACATAAGCAGGAAGTTGCAAGAGAAGCCTACACAGGGCTTTACCCCATGCTCTCCAATATGAAATGTGAGCGTTCCAAGCAGTGACTTCACTGCTACACCAAACACCCACCCTATGAACTGTACTCTTAAAATGGTTAATATGGTAAATTGTATGTTACCTCTATTTTACCACAATTTTAAAAAATTATATACAAATAAATATTTGAGCAAAGTAAACTGTCTTTAACAGATGTAAATGGAAGATTTTTTTAAAAAGCCTAGTGTATGCTGCTTAATTGGGGTGATTTCCCAGTATTTGTAATACATGTCTGAGTAATCAGAGCTATGGTAAAGGAGAAAATCCCGAAAAAGCTACCTCAGCAGCTACCCTCTCACCCTGCTTGCACATAACTAGCAGATAATCCTAATTCAACTAGCATGAGTTTCTGGAGACTCCTCTGAACATTAAATGTATGAGAGTGGCTGGCTGGATTTAGTCACATATCTAAACATGTATAGAACTTCTAATTGCTGAAAACCTCTATTCTCTAAATGTCCATTTGTTTAGCAAAGACGTGCACAATGTATAAATGTATACTAACATAGTGCTTCTCAAACTAATATATACATATTATATAAGCAGCATATGCATACTTGCATACACTATATATAATATGTATATATAAGATATTTATATAATAAGTAACAAGCTAGCTCTGCTAACCAGTTCAGTTTCCTTACCAGACAAGAAGGCAATATCTTGCATTAAGAAGTGACTGATATCCTTTACACGAAGGAACAGCTCAGTTTCTGCAACAAACGAGAAAGGGAAGAAAACAACATCCATGTTAAAGTACAGTTAGAAATACACACGATCTCTCGTTGTGGTGGAAAGAATTCTGAGGTTCCCACTGAGCTGTGTCCACAGATGACTGCTGATCTTTCCCTCTCTCAGTGACATGGCAAGGAAATCACACTCATGGACATATCCCTGGGTACTTAAGACCAGTGACCTACTCCTCAAAAATCTATGCTGGGACCATAAACTACTCTCACTCACCAGAAATCCAAGGAGCAAAGGTGCTGACTGTAGGACTTCTGGATTTATTTGAAGGGTAGATAGTCATATGGAAACACTGTAGCCAACTATCTTCTACTTCAGATAATGTCTTTCATTCTACAAATCTTTATTACCAGTACAAAGTGTTTCTAAGATCTAATTTTGGGGATCCTTAAAATAACCCTGAGGTACATATGATTATCCCATCTTAGATAAAAGAGTCTTAGGAAAAGACCCTGAGAAAGTACAATATAGTGGTTAAACATGTGGGCTTCTGAGTCAGATAGACCTGAGTGCCAATACCAGCTTTTTGCATTTACTGGCTATACAAATATGGGCAAGTTACTTAACCTGAGTCTCAGTTTCTTCATCCAGAAGCTGGGCGTAGTAATATCTACCTCACAAGGTGTTATGCCAAATAACTGTGAAATATCTAGCATAACAGTAAGTGCTCATAAAACAGTACTATATTGGGGCTGGTGCTGTGGCACAGTGGGTTTAATGCCCTGGCCTGAAGTGCTGGCATCCCATATGGGCGCCGGTTCCAGACCCGGCTGCTCTACTTCCAATCCAGCTCTCTGCTATGGCCTGGGAAAGCAGTAGAAGATGGCCCAAGTCCTTGGGCCCCTGCACCCACATGGGAGACCCAGAGGAGGCTCCTGGCTCCTGGCTTTGGATCGGCGCAGCTCTGGCCATTGTGGCCAATTCGGGAGTGAACCAGCGGATGGAAGACCTCTCTCTCTCTCTCTCTGCCTCTGTTCTCTCTGTGTAACTCTGACTTGCAGATAAATAAATCTTTTAAAAAAGCCATTAGTATATTAACTCATTTTTATCATTACAAATGGAGCAATGTTCATGCATTGTTCAGTGGTTTTAGTTGTCCCCAATCTTAAGTGTTAACTTGTAAATATTCAATTCTAGTGAACTCTACAGGAGCCAAAAATCAAAGTCCAATACCTGCCTATGGTCCAGGAACAAGAATAATTTTCTTTTGAAAATAGAAGAAAATAGGTCATCAAACTAGGCTATTTTGGATTGTTTTAATGCCTGTAGTTCCACATCTCTTACTGAAACCATATTTTCCACCTGCTATCAGATGCAAAGTACCTTCAAAGTCCTGGTCTCTTGTGGTGTCAAGCTGATGACCATTATCCTTCTTAGTACTTTTCAAATCATACCATGTGGATGTGGTTTATTAAGGTCAATCTTTTCCAAGGGATTTAGAGAAATAAGTTTTCAATGGGTCACACTATGGAAGATGGTATCTGCTACAAAATGCCCCCCCAACCTTTGAAACATAAAGCAATTAACACATCAGTGTTCATAAGCTGCATGCTGCTACAAACTTGCAGTTTGTCAGGATATAAAAACAAATTTTTTTAAAGATTTATTTATTTACTTGAAAGTCAGAGTTACACAGAGAAAGAAGGAGAGGCAGAGAGAGAGAGAGAGAGAGAGAGGTCTTCCATCTGCTGGTTCACTGTCCAGTTGGCTGCAACAGCCGGAGCTGTGCTGATCCAAAGCCAGGAGCTGGGAGCCAGAAGCTTCCTCCAGGTCTCCCATGCGGGTACAGGCGCCCAAGGACTTGGGCCATCCTCTACTGCTTTCCCAGGCCATAGCAGAGAGCTGGATCGGAAGTGGAGCAGCAGGGTCTCAAACCAGCACCCATTATGGGATGCCGGCACGGCAGGCGGTGGCTTTACCCGCTATGCCACAGCGCCGGCCCCAAAACAAATTCTTAAAAATGTCTTATAATTAAATACACACACACACTCCAGATGCATACCAGGCCAACTCATGCACATTTACATTTGCAATTATTCTTTCAATGCAACATGTTTCCTCGGATAAGGAAATGTGTTTTTAACAGTCACAAGTATGTGTCACAGACTGATATTTTTAGGCATGGAGATATGGAGAAAGGATAATGTAAAAAGAACTAGAACTCTCTGCTCTCTAGAGCCTACCTTAGTAGCAATTGTTAGAACATGTTCAAGCTTTTCAATGACAGAGCACCTGACATACAAATATCCTTGCATGTTAACAAGCCCAATTTTGTCCGCCGCTTTGATCAGTGGGAATACTATCAAAACAAATTGACTAATTTAATGCAGAGGACAGATCTGGAGATAGTAATGTGGGCAACTGGATTCCTCTCAATACCTTCCAGACTCTTGCATAGCTATAGAAATTATGTCCATCACTCTACAATTTAGACATTCATATAGTAAGAGAGCTTCGGGGAATAAAAGAAAAGACTGTGGGTTGTGAGTGGGAGGACCAGGATTTAGTGTTAACTCAGTCTCTAAGCTTCTGTGAAAAGTTGAGCAAGTCAGTCCCTATCCCTGGCCTCATTACTCACATTTTAGAAGTGAGGGCAATATACCAATGGTTTCTAAGATCCCTTACATCCTACAGGATCCAGCAACATGGAAAATTCATAGATAAAGACAGCCATACTGTTTTCTATCCTAAAATGTCTTCCATAAATGTGCCAATAAAATGACATTTCCATACTAACGAAAAAGGATCAAATGACTGTTAAGAACAGATGTTGCAACTTTAAGAAATAATCATGTTTTGGGAAAAAGAACAGAGGAGGAAGAGATAACACAGGAATCGCAACAGAAGAGTCTTATGGAGTTATCAGTGAACAGTCACAAAGAACAAGTTAAGATTATTGAGAACAAAGAGAAACAGAGACTACTGATTTTGGAGAAAATTGTGACACTGACTTACACCTAACTTTGTATCTGACTCTGTTGAATTTCCACACAGATTTTCCCCTGAAATACAACAGTAAGACAAATGGGATTTATAACATTCTTCTTGTTGACCCTTTAAATTCTTTTACTCCAGAGCATGAAAAATAAAAAGCCTGGATCACCAAAGCTGGTTCAAGTTCACATTACAGAATGTTCCTTGTTGTCCAGATTCACATTTGACAGGAAGCTGGTCATGCTATCTCATGTAGAAAGTTGAATTATTCACAAATAAAATAGAGGACATTCCCAGAATAGACATATGTTGTGGAACAGTAGATCAAAGCCTTGGGTTGGTTGCCGTGTCTCAAGAGTACCACTTCCAATACAGCACCCTGCTCATGCGCCTAGGAAGGCAGAAGATGGCTCAAGTACATGGGTCCCTGTTCCCTATGTGGGAGACTGGGATGGAGTTTCTGGTTCCTGTCTTGTGCCTGGTCCAGATCTGGCTGTTAGGGGGCATTTGGGGAGTAAACCAGCAGAGGTGAGATCTCTCTCTCTCTTTCTCTCTTTCACTCTCTTTTTCAAACAAATTGATCAGTCTTTAAAAAAGGAGTATAATCACTTTACTTTGAACTAGTTGCCAAGTCCAAACAGGACTTGTTGAGAAGCCAA